CCTTGCCACCCTCTCACCCACTGGACAGCCTGCCCAAGCTTCGACGTCCCACACTCACTGCTACTTCCTGGCTGCCCTCCAGGCAGCCTGACCCCATCCTGGGCAGCAGGCTCACCCTCCAGGGTAGGCATCACCCAGGAACCTCAAGGTCCAGGGCCAGGCAGAGATCAGCAGGGACCCACTCCCCAGACCCCAAGGGCCCTGGAACTGGCAGGTCCTGCCTGGGGCACGCAGCAGGCCAGCCTCCCCTGGCCTCGGGGCAGGAACCCAGGATGAGCAGGAAATGAGGGGCGGGGTGGGGGCTGAAGGAGCCAGGAGGAAGGCAGGCAGCGGCCCAGGCCAGCAAGGGGGGCAGGTCAGCCAAGGCACCCCAGGACTGGAGCCCAGCGCCCACAGCCCATGGACACCCTCGCCTGGCCGCCACGCCCCCCAGAGGACTCCTGACCCCACACCCCTCCTCACAGAGGGGCCCAGAGGCCCTCTCCTCCCCCAGGGCGCCTCTGGGTCCTCCGGGGTGACCTTTGTCCGCACTGCTCCCCTCACTATCTTATCTCCAGGCTCACCAGGGAGCACCCCGGGGGCAGTCACAGGGCCTGCACCTCGCAATGCCCAGTCCTCACTCACCCAAGTGACCCACTGTCCACTTCCTCTCGAGGACCCTGGGCATGCAGGAACCCCTGGCGGGGTGCCCCTCCGGTCACTGGGGAGCCCTCGGGTCCGTCATCCAGCCAGGCAGGAGGGCGCGCGGCGGGCACCCCAAGCAGGGGACCCGGTCCCCGTGCTCACACGGGCCCCCGCCGGGAAGCCGCGCCCGGGGCGGACCCCCACGGGCCTCGCACCCACCTGACGATGCGCGGCTGACCTTGGCGGGCCGTCACCCGTCCAGGCCCCGTCCCCCCGACAGCCCGGCGCGCCCGCGGCCGTCTCCGAACCCGACGCCCGGCGCGGCCGCTACCTCAGCTCCCACTGGCCGTTGCCCACGTCGGCGTCTCCGTCCTTGTCCGGGGCCGGCGAGTCTCCGCCGGCGCCCACGTCGGGGCCCGCCGCCCCGTTCCGCACCTCCTCTTCCGCCGCCGCGGGCCCGCCGCCCTGGCCCGAAGGTCGCGCACCGGCCCTCCGGCGCCGGGAGCCGCCCGCGCCGCCGCGCTCGCCCATGGTCTCGGCCCGCCGCCCTCCCGGCTCGCGGCGCCCGCGCCCCGCGTCCGGACTCCCGCCGCGCACCGGGGCCGCCGCGCGCTCCCGCCCCGCACCGGGGCCGCTGCGCCCGAGCTGCCCGCGTCTGCCGCGCGGGGCGGGAGCGCCCATTTGTAGCCCGCGGCCGGCGGGGGCGGGGCCCGGGCGCGCGCGGCAGCCTGGGGCTTGTAGTCCCGGCGCGCAGGCCGGCCAGCGCTGGCCACCCCGGGACCCTGCGGCGCGGGCGCGCGGGCGGAGAGGTCGGCAGGCCGGGATGCAGCGCCCGAGGGCTGTGCGCGCCCGCTCCGGGCTCTGCCCACGCGTCCGGGCCGCCTTCCAGCCCGCAGGGCACCCACAGGAGCTGGCCCGCAGAGGGGCAGGGTCTCGGTGTGCGGCCACGTGTGCCACCCAGCCACAGGGACCAGCGTGGAGCCACAGGAAGTTAGGTCCAGCCAGCCAGTGACTACACAGACGTCAGGGAGAAGCCAGAGAGAGGTGGGGTAGGGACGAGGACGTTAGGACCACCCTAAGGTGGTGGTGAGCAGCCTGGGCATTGTGTCCATGGATGGTCTGGAAGGTCGCCTTCGCCCTCACTGCCCCCAGGATCCGCAGGGGAGCAGCCAGCTGAGCCCACGGGGCTGGGCAGTCCTGGGAAGGAGATACTTGCCTCCACGGTGCCCGTCAGGGGCAGGGCAGTGGGCAGGGCAGTGGCCAACAGTCCCTGGGCTGTCGCCTGGAGAGGCTTGGCAGGGGGTGGCTCCAGGCTTGTTCTCAGGCAGGCCTGGGTCCAGCCGAGTCCCCCCGGAACAGCCATGCCCCCTAGCCCCGGGGTGGGGAGTAGGAGGAGAGCCAGGCCACTGACACCCGGCTCCTACAGACACTCCAGCCCGCAGGGACCTCCAGGCCTCCAAAGGGCTACCCCACAGTGGAACCTCCAGAACCTCCACATGCCACCTGGGCTGCCTACCTGGCTCTCCGTGAGCCGGGCCTGAGCATTTTCCCCAGGGCTGGCCCTGGCTGGCGGGTCATGAGCCCTAAGGCCATGGGCTGCCTGCTCAGGCCTCCTTCCTCCTGGCCGCAGTGTGGCGCCGGCCCTGTCCCTGGCTTTGCCCCCATCACCCAAGGGTGCTGCAGGAGTGTGGCACCGCCCGCCCAGCCATCCGGCAGTCTCCAGCGCCCGCGGAGTAAACTTAAGTTAGGCCAAGGACACGGGCAGCAGCACCTCGAGGCCTCGCCTGTGGCCAACAGGTGTGCGAGTCAGGATGCCCAGGAAGGACAGAGGTTCCACGGGCACTGCCACCCTTACTCCTCCTGCCACCACTCTGGCAGGGGTCAACTCACCCCAGAGCCGCTTAGCCTGCACTCTGACATGCCAGCCTCCAAGGGCCCAGGTGGAGTCACCACCCCCACACACACGTGCACACACACACACTCTGGAAGCCCAGCCCAGCCTGGACGCGGGACAGTGGGACAGCCCAGCCCTGCCCGGACACGGGACAGCGGGACAGCCCAGCCCAGCCTGGACGCGGGGCAGCCCAGCCCGGACGCGGGGCAGCCCAGCCCACCCCGGCCCGGACACAGGACAGCAGGACAGCTCGCCTCAGCCCGGACTCGGGACAGCCCAGCCCAGCCTGGACGCGGGGCAGCGGGACAGCCCAGCCTGGCCCAACACGGGACAGCCCAGCCCAGACGTGGACAGCAGGACAGCCCAGCCCGGAAAAGCAGGGAAAAGCAGGACAGCAGGCCACACGCCAGCAGTTAGTATCAAGAGTGGCGTTTATTCTCCTCGAGGAGGTGCGGCGCTCGGGGCGCTGGTGCCATTGTGCTTAGGAGGTCGGTCCGTCCGTCCGTCTGTCCGGCCGGCCCAGCCCCAAACGGGGGCAGAAGAGGGGCCGGCCCGAGTAAAAATCCCGGCCAGATCCGGGTGGGGAATCTGTGTACAAGGCGGCGGGGCGCAGGCAGGGGTGGGGGGCAGGGCCGGGCCGGCAGCCGCGACCCCCACCCAGGGCCCCGCACCTCGGGCCCTACTTGTAGAATAGTACAAAACAGGTGCTAGCTAAAGGTTCCTTCTACCTGAATTCGCTAAGTCGGTTATTGTGCTGCTTCGTTACGGGGTGGGGGCGGGCGGAGGGGGCCCATGGCTTTCCACGGCGGCGGGGTGTGCGGAGAAGCGGGGGGACCCTGGCGGCCCACGGCCCTCGAGCCTTCTCCTCAGGTAGGCAGACAGGAGTGGGGGTTTGGGGGTGTGTTCACGCGACCGCAGGGGGCACCGGCGGGACAAGGCCGGGCTGTGCGCGCACTGCGCCGGGTGCGGGCCTCGGGATTGGGGGCGCGCTGCGGCTGCGCCCCGGGGCGCGCGACCCTCAAGTTTGCACCTTCTCCCGCCAGGGGTCCCTGGCGCTGGTGGGACTGGAGGGTGGGCTGTGTGCGTGTGTGGGAGTGGTCCTCGAGCTGGGGGGTCGAGGCCCTGGGCTCGTCTTGCCTGAGTTGAGGCCCGAGGCAGAGCCGGGAACGCAGAGCAGGGCCCGGAGGAGCCGCGCAGAGGGCTGGCTCTCCGTGGCGGACACGCACCTCCCCACGGGCCGCTGAGGCCCGGGCGCACGCACCCACGGGCCCAGCAGGTGCCCAGGAGCGGTCGGTGAGTGATGGACGAGCAGAGGCGGTGGGAAGGGCGTGTCTGGGGGACCCCCCAGGCCCGAGACCCCCTGCCGTGGAGAGGAAGCGGGACGGGGAGTGAGGGAGGGGGAGAAAGTCTGCGCGGCCGGCCCCGCGCAGCGTCCCTGATCTAGGGCCTATGGGGCGGGCGAGGAATACCTGATTCTCAGTAACTCTAGAGGCGGCGGCAGCTTCGCATGCAGTGCGCATTATTGCTCTATGGTCGGCATCGGACTAACTAGGGGACCAGGGGAGCGGGCAGCCCCGGGGAGAAGGTCGGGCGGGGGGTCGGGGCTGCATGCAGTGGCGTCACAAGGCGGCGGCCAATGGCGCGGGCCCTTGGGGCGGGGTCGCCGCGAGGCTTTGGCATAGACGGGCGAAAAGTTGGCAGCTGAGGGAGGGGCGGGGTCCGGGGCTCCCCGGAGGCTGCGCCCGGCGAGCGGCGGGGACCCCAGAGCGCACGGCCCCTCGCCCCCGTCCCTGACCCGAGTGCAATCGGTTCATCAAGAAAACAAATAAAGAGAGGACCCCGACGCGTCCGCGCCCTTCCGGGGGGCTTTACCCGCAAAGCGAATACAGAGGTGTGCAAGCGCCAGAGCCGCGCCCGCCTGTCGGGCCCCGGGCCGCCCTTGGGGAGCGAGCGCCCCGGGAGTGAGGGAGGGGGCCCGGGGCTGGGGTCCGAGGGGGCCGGGGTGTCCATGCGATTCGATATGCGTCGTTAATATTCCCGGCGAGCCGGGCTGGAAGAATTCGGATTTAGCCGAGAGGGCAGAGGCGGCTCCGACAGGGACGCGCCGTCCCATCCCCCGGGGGTCGGCGGGCAGGGACCCCGCCTCCCAAGGCCGCGCCCGCCCGCCCGGCGGCGGAAGCCCTGGACGGCTTGGGGAAGGGGCGCGGGGAGGGAAGACCTGAGTCTCGCGCAGAGGAGGGAGGAGGGCGCGCCCCATCCCACCCCACCCCACCCCGAACCCGCCTCCCGCTCCCCTCCCCTTCAGAGACCCAACTCGGATATGAGGTTCTGTTCTGGGTCTCGCGGACCCTATTGCTGGGAGAAAGCCTGGGGGGGCACCCTGGAGGGGAGAGGAGCGGGCTAGGTACGGGGTGGGTCTCCCCTCGGGACCCTATTGCTAGAAGGGGCTGGCGAGGCCCCTGGCGGGCAGGGTGGGGCCGGCCCCCTCCCCCTATTGCTGCGAGGAGGGGCCCGCCCTCCGGCCCCTCGGCCTGGACGCCGGCGGAGACTGCCCGGCAGGGGAGGAGGGCGCCCTCCCTCCCGTATTGCTGCGCGCCGAGCCGGCGGGCCTAGGCCTGCACGGGGCTGAGCGGCGGCGGCGCGGGGGCCGCGGGCCCGCCGGCCGCGCCGCCCTTGAAGCAGGCCGACTCGTAGTGCTTGTTGAGATAGGACTTGAGCGCGAAGCTCTTCTTACAGCGCTTGCATTGGAAGTGCTTGAAGGCCGAGTGCGTCTGCATGTGCGCGCGCAGGTTGGAGCGGTCGGCGAAGGCCTTGCCGCAGTGCGCGCAGCCGAAGGGCTTCTCGCCGGTGTGCGAGCGCATGTGGCCCTGCAGCAGCCAGGGCCGCGAGAAGGCCTTGCCGCACACGCCGCACTTGTGGCGCAGGTCGTGCGTGAGCAGGTGCATGGCCATGGCCGGCATGGACACGTACACCTTGCCGCACGTCGGGCAGCGCCGCGCCAGCTGGCTGTCCAGGCTGCGGTGCGTCTGCTTGTGGCGGCTCAGGTTCGACGACGTGGCGTACGTCTTGCCGCACTCCCCGCACGCGTGCCGGCCGCCGCCCGCGGGCCCCGGCCCCGCGCGCGCCTCGCCGCCCGCCCCCGCGCGCGCGCCGCCCCGACCCCCCGCGCCGGAGCCGCGCGCGCCCGCCCCGGGCCCGGAGTCGCCGTCGGGGGGCGCCGCCGCCGCCGAGGCCGCGGCGGGGGGCGCGGCGGCGTGGGCCCCGGCGCCCGCGTGGGCCGCCTTGCGGCGCGAGCGCCCGTCGGTGATGAAGAAGGCGTCGGCCGCGTAGCCCTCGCTGACGGCCGCGTCGCCGTTGATGTAGCCGCCCGCGGCCGTGGCCAGCTCCGGACGCGGGGTGGGCGGCGGCGCCGAGCCCGCGGCGGCGGGACCCAGCTCTCCGCGCACGGCGGCCGCGTACATGGGCTCCGGGGACGGCCCCTTGAGCAGCGCCGCCTCGGCGTCGCCATCGTAGACGGCTGCGGGCCCCACGTAGTCGCTGAGGTATCCTGCGGAGCGAGAGGGGGCGCGGGGGGCGGAAGACAAAGGAGGGGACGGGGTGGGGGGCGGGACGGAGACAGCGGGGAGGGGGCCGGGTGAGCGCGGCCCGCCGCCCCGCCCCGCCGCGGGAGGAGCGCCGGCGGCTCCGGGCGCGCCCGCCCCCCTTCCGCCGAGCCTCAAGGTCAGGGGGGAGGGGCGGCGCGTCCTCGCCTCGCCCCTCCCCGCGGGTTCTCCCCACTTCAGCAGTTTTGCCTGATTATGCAACACACTGCGGGCCCGCAGCGCACAAAGCCGGGCCGCGGGCCCGGGGACCCCGCGGCGCGCGCCTCTCCCGGGTTCCCCCACCTGGCTCCTCCCCGCGCCCCGCCTCGGTGCTGTCCCCTCTGGCTGCCCAGGTCCCCGGCGAAGCCTGGGAGAGGCGCCCTGCTCCGGGCTCCCGCGGCCTCCCCGCGGCCTCCCCGCCTCGCACTCGCTGGGCCGGACGCCCCCTCCCCGCCCACCTTGGCCAGCGCGCCTCCCTGACTCCGGCCGCTTGGGTGCGGCTGCGCCTTGGGGGCCTGCCCTGCACCCCACCCTGGGTGACAGCGCCCGGCGGACAGTGCAGCGTAAGGCTGGGAGGAGCGTCCACCAGGGGACACCTTCAGGGAGACCAGCTGTTGCGGCAAGCCAGCGGCGGCGTTGGCGCAGGTGCCTGCAGTGGCCCCGGAGCGCGAGGCGGATCTCCCGGCTCCAGCTGCTGGCGGACCCCCAGGAGCCCTCCCACCCGTGCCACGGTCACACCTGCCGCAGCAGGGACACCGGCGGTCACATGGCGCGCGGTGGCCTCGGAGTCACATGGCCCCGTGGAGTGGCACACAGGCAGGCACACACTCACACAGGGTCACACACTGACAGTCACATGGCCACACGCAGTCACATGGGCCCACACAGGCTCCCGCTCCTGCAGGGCACGCTTGCTCTGCCACCGCGCCGCTGGCACTCCCCGCGCCCCTGCCTGCATGCTAACAGTTGTCCTTGAACTTGGGCAGCACACAAAGAGCCTTCCGGCCGTGCGCGGAGAGGGGAGGTGGTGGCGCCGAGCCCCCTCTGCCGCCCCGGGGGCTGTGGGCCTCACAGGTGGGCGCCCGCCCAGCCGCAGGCCTGCTGCACTCGGCTCCGGCCTTCCTGCTAGCAGGGGTCCGGGCTGTCGGAGCCGGGGGTCCCGGCATGCGCGCGCCCTCCCCCGGGGCGGCAGCCCCCCACCGCCTGCCTGCGCGCCCAGCCCGGCCAGGTCCTGCCCGAGGTGCCCGCGGCCCCCTCCCCCTCCGCGGCCCCCAGCCCGGCTCGCACCTTTCTCATGTAGCCGCACGCCGAGGTCGCCGCGGGCGCGCCCGTAGGAGCTCTCGAGGTCGGCCGAGGAGAAGGTGTCAAGTTTGACCTTCTTGACCAGGAAGGACCTGGGCATGGTTCCTGCGGGGCTCCGGCGCTGCGGGCCTGCGCAGCCGGGGCTCGGGGGCGCTGCGGCCGCGGCGGGCGCCGGGCACCATCCGAGGAGCGGCGGCGGCGGCTCGGGTCCCCGCTCGGGCCGCCGGATGCTGCCGCGCCAGGGCCGGTCCGTGCGCCGCGGGCTCGCCGCTGCGCGCCCCGGGACGGCGGCCCTCCTCGCGCTCTCGCCGCCTTCCTTCGCTCCTTGCTTCCTTCCTTCCCTGCTCTGGTCCCGGCTTCCCAGCCCGCAGTGCCGCCCCTGGACAGGCGGGGGAGGAGGCTGGTGGCTGGGGGGGGGGATGGCGGAGAGGGGGGAGCGGCTCCGTCCCGGGCCCGCGGGCTGCGATGGGTGCAGGGCTGGCCCGGCCGCGCGGCCCCCTTCCGCTCCCCGCCGCCGCCGCGGCGGAGCCTCAGTCAGCGGAGCCCCATGCCCCCGGGGGCGGCGGCGGCGGCGGAGGGGGCGCCAGCGTTTTCAGCACCGCGGCCAGCGCCGGCCCGGGCAGCACCGCGGCCAGCGCCCGAGCGCGCACGGCCGGCGCGGGCGGAGAGGGGCGGGCCGAGGGCGCTCGGCCGCCGGGCGGGGGTCCTCGGCGGGGGTCTCGGGGAGGCTGGCTTTATTGTTCTGCAGCCAGAGCGGCGGCGGCGGCGGCGGCGGCGGCGGGGGGCGGGGGTCCTGGGGGGAGGGGAGCGCGCGGAGGGCGGGCCGAGCGAGGGGGAGGGACGGGGCTCGGGGGCGGGGCTCGGCGCTCGGACAGCTCCCGCGCGGCCTCCCGAGCCCGCAGCCGCCTCTGCCCGCGGCCCGGCCCGGCCTCGGGCTTTTAAAGGCGGCGAGCGGGGGGGAGGGGAGGCGGCCGGCGGAAATGGCTGCGCGGGCCCGGTCCCCGGCCGGGGTCTCCTGGGAGGGGCCCCGGGGAAGCCTCGGCGTGCTGGGAGTCCCCCGCGCCGCTCAGGGAATGGCCGCCCCGCGCGCGCCCGCATTGTCGGCCGGGTGGGAGAGGAGGAGCGGGGCGCCCCGGGGCCTGCGTGTGTGGGGAGGGGGTGCCATCCCAGGCGGGACGCCGCGCGCTGCGCCCTCGGGGTCACCCGCCGCGCGTGGGGGGGCAGGGACGCGCGCGGTGCGGGGGCGAGTGCTGAGGCAGCGAAAGCGGGTGTGCGGGCGCCGCGTGCGCGCCGTGCCGCAGTGTCTCCGGCCGCGCGGTCACCCGGGCTGACCCCGAGCCCGCCCCCCGGCCCTGCGGCGGACGCGGGGCGCGGGGGCCTGCGGTGACCCCGCTGCAGGAACGGGGCTCCGCGGGTGGCTCTGCGCCCTTGTGCGGGGCTGCAGCTCCCCCGGCGGCCCCGCAACCGGGCGCATCACCTTGCGGAGGCCGCCCGCGCCGAGTTCGCAGCCCCCATGACGTCAGGCGCGGCGGCCAATGGCGCACGCGGGGCGCGGGGCCGCACAATGGCCGCGCGCGGGGCGCTGGTCCCCGGTCGGGGCCGGCGCCGCCATTGTCCCCTCGCCGTCCCCGCCCGGCCCTCCGGTCTGCGCGGCCGCTCGCCAACGCCGCGCTGCGGGGAGCGGGCGCGCGCGGTGACCTTGCGCGGGGCGGCCGGGAGCGCGCGGCCTGCGCCTCGCCCGCACGCAGCCGGCCGCGGAGCCGACCCGGCGCGGGGACATCCATCTTCTGTGGCAGGCTCTCCCCGGGGGTCGGGCGGCCGCACCGCCGCCCCCTTATCGCCGGGCCACAGCCGGGGATGCTCGCGGCGGGGGGGCGAGGGAGGTCCCCTCTGCCTCCTGCGGGGGGAGGGGGCTCGCCCGAGGCGCAGCCGGAGTCGCAGGCACAATTAGCATTTTGATTGCGGGATTGGGGGGGCGCATCTGGACCGAGGCCTAATTACCTGGCAAGCCCTCGGGGCGCGACGCCCACCGCCTGTTCCTGGACCCTGTCCTTTTCCACGTGCTTCTCCCCCTCTCTTCGTCTCGCTCTCTGGGGTCCCGTTTCTCCGTCGCCCCCCTCCTTCCTTCGTCCCGTGTCCCTGTCCCTTGCCCCTCGGGGACCCGGCCGGCCCTGACCCGCAGCCCCCCGCGCAGGCTGGACGCAGCCCGAACAGGGGCACCTGTGTCTCCTAGCTGCGCACTCCCAAGGGGGCTGTTGGTGCGGCCTGACTGGCGCCGGCGTAGGCTCCCGCAGCCCATGCCCGGCAGGGGAGGGCAGCTGCGCCTGAACCCTGGCCATCAGTCCAGGCCCTCCCAGGTCCGGAGCACACATGTGGCCCCGCTGCACCGCCCTTGAAGCAGCCACCCCAGCCGCCTCCACATCTCGAGGTCGGGATGGGCCCACAAGGACCCTTGGCCTCGCTGGTCTTCAACACTTTTCAGTTGAGGCTCCCAACTGAGAGGGGCGTGAGGGAGGGTCACCTAAGGTCGCAGGTCAGGACCCCAGGCAAGACCGTGCTGGTCCTGGACTACAGTCCCCCAGCCCTTCGGGTCCTGACCCTCAGGCTCTCTGTGGTCTGTTACACAGTGCCCCTCAAAAACATGGCCTGGCCTAAGGGCGGGTTGAGCCCCCCGCAGCCCGAGGGTGGGTCGTGGGCTGAGCCCCCCGCAGCGCACCCCTGGCATTGATGTGGTCTGTATCACGCCCTCACCACCTCCTCCTCGCTGCTAGGGCTCTGAGGGCTTCTGAGTCCCTGATGTCTCTGCCGCCAGGGTCAGCCCCATGCCGAGAGGAAGTTGTGGGGAGGGGCAGGGTGTGCAGGCCAAAGCTGCCACACCAGGGGCATGAAGGATACGGGATGGAACAGCGGGGCTGACACTGGGGGCTGGGAGACATGCAAACTGTGCTCCTCAGTGGGGGCAGGGCTGCAGGTTCCTTGAGGACAGAGGGTGGGTGCTCAGCTTCAGGACCAAGGGTGCCGATGCAGGGCCGCTCTGGCGCTCACTGGCTGTCTGGGAGTGCGGGCCGGAGTGTCCAGTCATGCCCCACTCAGCTGAGACAGACAGAGCTCTGGCTCTGGCTCCAGCCTGCTGGGCCCTGGCTGTGCTGAAGCATGGCATGCTCAGAGACAACAGGGGCCAGGGCAGGGCCAGTGCCCAAGCCAGGATCTCCATCTGGCACTCACTGTGGGTGCAGGGGCCCAAGCACGTTCGCCATGCTTTGCTGCTTTCCCGAGCTCATCGGTGGAGCAGCTAGAACTCGCCCATGTGGGAGGCTGGCGCTGCAGGTGTCTGTGCTGGCTAAAGCACAGCACGGGCACTGCTCTCCCACGTGTTAATGAGAGTGTCCACGGAGGACACTGGCCCTGCTGGTCAGCACCCACAGTGTATGTGTGTGTGTGTGTGTGTGTGTGGAGGGAGAGCACATTGCTTTGCAAACGCAGAAATAAATGGGTCTGTGAGCCTGAAGCTCCGGCAGATGGGCAGCACCTGGACCTGACACAGGTGCGCAGGGCCGCGTGGGTGCTGGCGCAACTGTGGGTTGCTTACACACCACTTGCCGCATCCTGGCATCCTGTCTGCCATGCCCGGTGGCAGCGTGTGCAATATGCAAGGGCGCTGGGGCCTTGCCCTGGCTTCCCGCACCCCCGGAAGCGCCCTGTGCTGCCTTGCCTGCTCACCCCACTCTCACCGGCTGCTCCTGGCTGAGTGTGGCTTCACTCTTGAGCCTGGAAAGCAACAGGCACCTGGCCGTCCAGCAGGGAGACCAGGGTGGAGGCGCCCCCGGCCCTGCTACAACAACGGCAGGTCTCCAGGCAGTGAACCAGCAGCTGGGGATCTGTTTCTCTCCCGGAACTGAGTTTTTTTCTTTTCTTTTTTTTTTTTTTAAGATTTATTTATTTTCATTACAAAGTCAGATATACAGAGAGGAGGAGAGACAGAGAGGAAGATCTTCCGTCCGATGATTCACTCCCCAAGTGAGTGCAATGGTTGGAGCTCAGCAGATCCAAAGCCAGGAGCCAGGAGCCTCCTCCAGGTCTCCCATGCGGGTGCAGGATCCCAAACCTTTGGGCCGTCCTCGACTGCTTTTGCAAGCCACAAGCAGGGAGCTGGATGGGAAGTGGAGCTGCCGGGATTAGAACTGGTGCCTATATGGGATCCCGGCGCGTTCAAGGCAAGGACTTTAGCCGCTGGGCCACTCTGCCAGGCGCTAAAGTAAAAATTTTAAACAACTAACAAGAGGCCCCATTTCTCTGCACCCCCACCAGGAGCTGCGTCTGCCCGGGCTCCCCGCCCCACCCCATCCAGTCGGCTGGTCCTAGGCCTCTTTGTGGATGGTGCTGTCCAACCACAGTGCTCGCCTGCCTGCCTGTGTCCTTGCTAGCCAGGACTCTGGCTCTGGAGGCCTACATGGGGACTCCAGTCCTGTCTTTCCTGCTGCTCATCTCTGATGCCATGCTTTTCCAAGTCTGGTTTTGGGGTGTCTGCCCTCCTCCAAGTGGCTGTCAGGACACCCCCAGTCCTGGCGAGCTCTCTGTTGGAGGGCTCCGCCCTTGGGCAGGCGCGGGGCACTGGTGGGGTCGGGGCCAGCCATCAGTGGCCACTCTCACTTGGACTCCACAGCGCGTCCAGCAGCCCGGCTCTGCCAAGGGGCATTGCAAGCACCCATGCACCCTGGACAGGGCCACAAGCAGGCATCATGGTGCCACCCGGCTCCTTCCCAAGGCATGGGCTCATGGGGCACCTGCTGTTTTATTCTAACTTTTTTTTTTTTGCCATTTTTCTATTAAACATTTGTTTTTTTATTAGAAACACAATTACAGAGACAGAAAGCGTCCTCCAAGCACTGGTTCACTCCTCATATGGTCACAACGCCAGGACTGCACCAGGAGCTCCTCCAGGTCTCCGATGCCGGTGCAGGTCCCAAGGCTTTGGACCGTCTTCTGCAGCTTTTCCAGGCCACAGGCAGGGACCCAGATGGGACGTGGAGCAGCCAGGACTTGAACTGGTGTCCATGCAGGATACCAGCACTTGCAGGGAAAAGATTACACTGCTGGTCCTGAGCTCTGGTTCTGCAGACACTCGGGTGGCCTCCAGAGCCACACGGAGCAGCACAGCCACGGGGGGCAGCAGTGGGTTCTGGGAGCCAGAGGGGCACAGCGAGTGGGGTGGGTGTAAGAGACCCCAGGCACTGGGGACATGGCAGGTGCACAGAGCCCCCATGCAGGCCTTGTGCCCAGCGACCAGGGTCAGCAGCAGCTGGTTCCAGGATACATCCCCGGGACCCAGCACCTCTCTGATCCTCCCCACTGCGCGCTGGACTGGGAGCTGGGGTGCAGCCCACGAGGGACCAAGGGGATTCTGGCACTTGACCAACCGGCTGCTCATTGATGGCTGACTGTCCTCCTGAGACTGCGGTCTCCTGGAGGGCTGGCTGGGGCTGAGGGCGCTCCAGTGCAGCCGCCAGGTGTGGCCAGGGCAACCGAGGTCCTGGAGGGGCGTCCCTTAATTGGGAGCCCCCGCCCCGCGTCCAAACAACCCAGTAGGGAGGCAGAGGAAGCTTTATTGCGAGCAGAGGCGCCAAGAGCGGTGGAGGGGGTGGCTGTGCGCTATGCTCGCCCTTTGGTGTCCAGCGGGTCGTGGAGGCGGACCTTGCGCTGCGCTATGCCCGGGCCCAAGGCACCCTCCAGCGGCCGGTGGCGGACCACGTGCCGGTAGGACGTGGCCAGGTAGTCGAAGTAGTTAATGTTGAGTTTCTGAGCGACGTGGCGGCCCAGGTACTCGATTTGCTGTGGGAGCGGGGGACGGTGGGTTCTGCCCAGCCGGTGCGCGCGGACCTGCAGCCCCAGCCCCGCCGTCAGGGTCCCTCGGCGAGACCCACCTCGTAGCGCTCCGACAGCTGCACCAGCACCAGTGGCTCCAGCTTGTGGCCGCTGAGAACCAGCCTGAAGAAGCACCTCCCGTAGGCTGGCGTGGGTGGGGGTGCACTCAGCAGGGGCGCGGGCAGGGGGTGCACTCAGCAAGGGTGCAGGCAGGGGGTGCACTCAGCAAGGGCGCAGGCAGGAGGGTACACTCAGCAAGGGCGCAGGCAGGGGGTGCACTCAGCAAGGGCGCAGGCAGGAGGGTACACTCAGCCAGGGCCTCGGGGTGCAGGCAGGGGCGCGGGCAGGGGGTGCACTCAGCAAGGGCGCAGGCAGGGGTGCACTCAGCAGGGGCGCGGGCAGGGGGTGCACTCAGCAAGGGCGCAGGCAGGAGGGTACCCCGGTGGGCCTTAGGGTGCAGGCAGGGGCGTGGGCATGGGGTGCACTCAGCAAGGGCGCAGGCAGGGGTGCACTCAGCAGGGGTGCACTCAGCAGGGGCGCACTCAGCAAGGGCGCAGGCGGGGGGTGCACTCAGCAAGGGCGCAGGCAGGGGTGCACTCAGCAAGGGCGCAGGCAGGGGTGCACTCAGCAAGGGCGCAGGCAGGAGGGTACCCGGTGGGCCTTAGGGGACTGGGCCCAGGAGGGTTGAAGCCCACCTGCCCGCCTGCCTTCCCACCCCGGCCCTGGGCGTCACCGTCCGAGCTGAGCGCCAGGCGCACGTAGACCAAGTGCATGGGGCCCTGGCAGACGGTACGGCCGCGGATGGAGAAGTGGTATATGCCACGCGGGTGGTTCAGCACCAGGCGGCGCCGCGGCAGCGACGAGACGAGGAGCCAGAGGCCCACGCCCACGCCGTACGCAGGAAAGCCCCAGGTCTCCTGCTTGCGCACCTGCAGGAGCCGCGTGGCGGGGATGCGTGAGGCCCCTCCCTCCCCCGCTCGCCGAGGGCAGGTGCAGGGGCCAGAGCATGCGCGTCTACCTGCCGGATGAAGTCCAGGCTGACCAGCACGATGCAGACCACGAAGAGCAACGCCCCCTTCCACAGCGTGTCCTGGTAGTACTCCAGCACAAAGACTGCGGGCAGCGCGTGAGTGCTGCGGAGGCCGCCCCGTCCTGCACTGCCCTTGCACACGCACCACCCCTGCCCACGCACCACCCGGCTGCCCGCACCGCCCTTGCACACGCACCACCCCTGCCCACGCACCACCCGGCTGCCCGAGCTGCCCACACTGCCCCTGGCCACGCACCATCCGGCTGTCCACACTGCCCCTGTCCACACACCACCCGGCTGCCCGCACCCTGCACAGGCACCACCCAGCTGCCCTCACTGCCCCTGCCCATGCACTACCCAGCTGCCCATGCTGCCCACACTGCTCCTGGCCACACACCACCCGGCTGCCTGCACCCTGCACAGGCACCACCCAGCTGCCCATGCTGCCCACGCTGCCCCTGCTGCCCCTGCCCATGCACCACCCAGCTGCCCACACTGTCCCTGGCCACACACCACCCAGCTGCCCACACTGCCCATGCTGCCCCTGGCCACACACCACCCGGCTGCCCGCACTGCCCCTGCCCACGCACCACCCGGCTGCCCGCACTGCCCCTGCCCACGCACCACCCAGCTGCCCTCACTGCCCATGCTGCCCCTGGCCACACACCACCCGGCTGCCCGCACTGCCCCTCCCCACGCACCACCCGGCTGCCCGCACTGCCCCTGCCCACGCACCACCCAGCTGCCCACACTGCCCATGCTGCCCCTGGCCACACACCACCCGGCTGCCCGCACTGCCCCTGCCCACGCACCACCCGGCTGCCCGCACTGCCCCTGCCCACGCACCACCCAGCTGCCCACACTGCCCCTGCCCACGCACCCCCCAGGCTGCCCACACACCCCCAGGCTGCTGTTGCGTGAAGGGATAGAAGCTGTTGCTCTTGAGGCGTCTGGCCAAATGGCGCTCGGTGAAGAAACCCAGTGTCCAGAGCTGGAAGTGGCTGCTGTCCGAGCTCATGGGCAGGTGGCTGAGCCGGCCCTTGGAGCTCTGGGTGGGAGGGTGGTGGTCAGCCTGGGGCGGCCTGCCCGCGGGCCCCACCCACCGCCCACCGCACCCACACCTTGGGCAGGAGGTTCTGTAGGGTTGCGGCTTAAGAGACAGCAGCTGCCAGGGGACGAGCTGCAGAGCGTGTGGAGAGACGCCTCTGAGTAGGCCCTGCGGAGTTCTAGAAGCCCCAGGGATTCTAGAAGTGGCTTCTGTTGCCCACCCTTTCTGGGGCAGGCCTTGCAGTGGGGTCTGGACCCCGGAGGGGACACTCCCTGGCGGAGCCGCCACAGGATGACCACACATGCCAGGCTCAGCGCAGGCGGCCTCTCTGGCCCTACTGTCCACCCAGAACAGGACTGTGGCTTCTGGGGGGCCCAGTGCCCTGCTGCGAGCAGGACCCACACACGCACATGGGCACACGCCGACCGAGATGGGGAGATGGGGACAGGCCGAGGGCAAGCCCACGGCTTCTGTTCCTTACACACAATTCCTTAGAAATTGTCTTTACTGTAACAAAACCGGGCGGGCAGGCAGGGGCATGCAGCCCCCTAGCTGGGGGAGAGGGAGCTGGTGAGCAGCTGCCCCAGGCACCACTGGACCTCCTCCAGGCCTCGGTAGGCGCGCTTCAGGCCCCTGGGCAGGCAGCGGCAGGACTCCAGGTTCAGCTGCAGCAGGCCAGGGCAGCTGGCGATCACAGAGCTATGGGGACAGCGCAGGCCACTGGGACCCAGGATCGGCCACCAGCTTCTCCCGCAGCCCCCTCCACAAGGCCGGCTCACGTTAGCGGCTGCCCACTCCGGGCAGGGGTGCTGACCTGACCGTGCCGGGGGTGACCCGGGTGCCCCTGAGGTTCAACGAGCACAGAGCTGGTGGGGAGCCATCCGGGGAGCCCGAGAAGGCGGCCAGGGCCTGCTCCAGGTCCTGCTCACTGAAGCCCTGGCCACTCAGGTCCAGCTCACGCAGGGTGCGTGCCCACTTGTGGGTCAGCAGGGGGCTGCCCTCCTTGACCAGGGTCAGCCGGTCCGAGTGGCCATACAGTCCCAGGTACAGCTGTTCCAACTCTGGGAAGAGGCAGGCCATGAGCACCAGGGCAGGGGGGCTCCTTGCTCCCGCAGCTCCCAGCCACCCAGGGGACGCGGACCCTGGCAGGGCAGGTCCAGCAGGCCAGCAGGTGTGACGCGGGCACAGCCACGGAGGTCCAACAGGCGCAGGCCGGGTGAGCCGTGCAGCAGGCGGCCCAGGACCTCGTTGCTGACAAAGTTGCTGGCAGAGCTGGCCAGGCAGAGCTCCTGGAGGCTGGGGAAGCCAGGCCCGGGCACGGACCCCCGCACACACGGCTTGGGCAGCCATACCAGATTCAGCAGCCTCAGCACCTAGGGGCAGGCGGAGATCAAGCCACAGGACGGGCCCTGGTTGGCCCTAGGCTGGCCTGCTCGCCCACCCGCGTCCTCCCGGCTCCCCAGGAGCGCGGCAGGGCAGCAGGTACCTGCAGCTGGGGGCAGCCCTTCTGCAGGCCCTCCACGGGGAGCTGCAGGGGTGTGCTGTTGCGGCTGAGGCCGGTGCTCAGCTCCAGGACCTGCAGCTGGGGGCAGCGGCCGCCCTGCGGGCCAAGGATGCGGGTGGGCAGCCTGGCCCAGGCAGGGCCCCAGCGCCTGCCCAGCTCCGCCCCCGCCACACCCACCAGCAGCGCGCCCAGGATGGCTGTGGTCTGGGAGCTGTAGGTCAGCCACAGCTTGCGCATCCGGGCTCCCGCTTCCTCCAGGAAGGTCAGCACGGCCGCGGACTCCACCTGAGGGACACAGCACAGGAGCCGCGGGTGACCCGGGCCGGGACCCCTTCCGCGCACCCCCAGCCCCGGGGCGCCAGGGCTCACCATGGAGTGTTGTAGGTCTAGGCTGTGCAAGCGGCTGCAGGCTCTGGCCAGCGCGCCCAGGGCCTCCGCGGTCACGCCATGGCAGTCGGACAGTTTGAGGAAGGTGAGGCTGGGGCACTGCTCGCTGACCAGCTGCAGGGAGACACCGGGCCGCCTGGGGCGGGGGCGCAGGTCCGGGGGTAGGAGGCCCACCCCACTCCTCCACCGTGACCTCGTGTCCCCTGGCCAGGCCTGCCTGGGTGCCCTCGCCTGGCATCTCGTGGGGAGGCGTTGACAAGGACGGAGAAGCGGGGTCCCACTGGGAAGCCTGGGGCTCTCACCTTCAACACGGGGTGCACCTGGCTCTTCCAGTGGAGCAGCGTGAGACTCTGCAGCTGGGAGAAGCTGGGGCAGCGGGGCGGCGGGGCTAGGGCCGGGGCACCCACAGCCCGCCGGCCCCTCCACGCACCCACTGGAGGAGGCCGGGGCCGCGCGCGGGGGTCCCCTCACCGGTTGGGCACGAGCCACTGCAGAGCAGCCAGCAGCTTCTTCTCCGTCTTGACCCCGCTCTGGGCAGCGCGGCCGGGCGGCGGCGGCGCCAGGGTCACCGTGTGCCAGAGCGCGGGATGCGAGGCGGCCTCGTGCCAGCGGCGGCACACGCGCGCGGCCCTGGGGGCACAGCACGGCTGCGGGTCCCGGCCTGCCTCGGCGGGCCCCCAGCCCCGGGAGCGGCCGGGGCGCACGGCCTACCTGCCGAGGAACGGCACGGGCCCGTCGGCCGCCACCAGCAGCCCGAAGATGTGCACGAGGATCTCCAGGGGGAGGCGGTCGCCCCAGCCGGCGTCCGGCCCCTGCGCGGGCTCCAGCCGGGGCCGCGCCCGGGGCTTGGCGGGGGCGGCGCGAGGCCCCGGGCCCGGCACCACGAGCAGCATGCTGTCGGCCGGCAGCAGGTGGCACTCGGAGCCGCGCGGCGCCAGGCGCTCCCACCAGCTCCGGCCGGGCCGCGCCCAGGCCCCGCGCGCGCCCCGCGCGCCCCGCGTCCGCCGCCGCGCGCGCCGCGCAGCCCCGGGAGCCATGGCGCAGCGCGGCGGAAGGGGCCGGACGCGCGGCGGAAAGGCGGGGCCCCGCGGCCGGCGCTCCCGGGGCGCGCGGGGCGCCGGCACCCCAGGTTTCCGGGGCCGGACTTCCGGCCGGATGGCGCGGGAGGCGCGGGGGTTCGAGCCCCAGCCCCGGCCGGCCGCGTCCCGGTTCCCGCGCGCTCTGGGCCGGAGAGGGCGGCGACTCTGCAAGTCTTCGGGGGGCGGGGTCGCGCCCGACCGCCCTGCCGGACACGCCCCTCGGCCGTCCGGGCTGCCCGCCTTCCGCAGCAGGAGCCGTCGGGGCGTCGGTCGCCGGAGCGCGCCCGGGGTGCGGGGGTCCGCCGCCCGAGCCTTCGTCGGGGCGCAGCGCAGCCTTCCCGCCGCCAGAGTCCGTGCTCAATGGCCTCGCCCCCGCTGGGCCGGCTGGTGCTCACGCACCTGCTGGTGGCTCTCTTCGGCATGGGCTCCTGGGCCGCCGTGAACGGCGTGTGGGTGCAGCTGCCCGTGGTGGTGAAGCAGCTGCCCGAGGGTGAGTGCGGGGAGGCGCGGCCGGCGGCCGGGCTGGCGCGCTCCTGCCCACGCCCGCGCTGACCCGGCCGTCTCTCCTCCCCGCAGGTTGGAGCCTGCCCGCCTACCTCTCCGTGCTGGTGGCGCTGGGCAACCTGGGCTTGCTGGTGGTGACCGTGTGGCGCCGGCTGGCCCCGGGCAAGAGCGAGCGCGGCCCCATCCGCGTGGTGCAGGCGCTGAGCGTGGTGGGCACGGCCCTGCTGGCCCCTCTGTGGCACCGCGTGGCCCCCGTGGCTGGGCAGTCCCACTCGGTTGCCTTCCTGACGCTGACCCTGGTGCTGGCCAGCGCCAGCTGCGCCTCCAACGTCACCTTTTTGCCCTTTCTGAGCCGCCTGCCGCCTCCCTTCCTGCGCTCTTTCTTCTTGGGCCAGGGCCTCAGCGCCCTGGTGCCCTGCCTGCTCGCCCTGGTGCAGGGTGTGGGCCGCCTTGAATGCCTGCCGGCCTCCGCCAACGGCACGCAGGGGCCTCCGCTCTATTTCCCAGAGCGCTTCTCGGCCAGCACCTTCTTCGGGGTCCTGACGGCCCTCCTGGTGGCCTCCGCCGCTGCTTTCCAAGGCCTCCTGCAGCTGCTGCCAGCCTTGCCCAGGTCCACCCCTCCTGGGGGCTCAGAGCCCGGCCTGCAGGTGGAAACCCCCGGAGCAGCAGAGGAGGAAGAGGGGGAGGAGGTGTCTCCCTTGCAGCGGCCAGCCGTCCCCGCTGCCAGCCCAGAGCCGGAGGGGCAGCGGCTGCTGTCGGCTCGCACCGTCTGCCTGCTCGGCCTGCTGGCCACCACCAACGCACTGACCAACGGCGTGCTGCCAGCCATCCAGAGCTTCTCCTCCCTGCCCTACGGGCGCCTGGCCTACCACCTGGCTGTGGTGCTGGGCAGCGCCGCCAACCCCCTCGCTTGTTTCCTGGCCATGGCTGTACTGTGCAGGTGCAGGGGGGCACACCTGGGCGAGAGGGGTGTGGGGGACTGCGGGCGGGTCCTGAGTCCCTGCCCTCTCCCACCAGGTCCCTGGCAGGACTGGGGGCACTCTCTCTGCTGGGCATGCTCTTCGGGGCCTACCTGATGGTGCTGGCAAGCCAGAGTCCCTGCCCCCCGCTGGTGGGCACCTCTGCAGGGGTGGTCATCGTGGTGAGTGTGGGGGTGTCCAGAGGGAGCCCGGCGGGTCGCTCCCCAGGGCGGGTGGCATGTGCTCAGGTGGCTGCCCCATGTCCCCCCAGGTGCTGGCGTGGGTGCTTTGTGCGGCCGTATTCTCCTACGTGAAGGTGGCGGTCAGCTCCCTGCTGCATGGCGGAGGGCGGCTGGCCCTGCTGGCGGCTGGCGTGGCCATCCAAGTGGGCTCGCTGCTCGGGGCCGTCGCCATGTTCCCACCGACCAGTGTCTTGCGCGTGTTCCGCAGTGGACAGGACTGTGTGGACCAGTGCACATCCTGACCCCCTCCGACAGGGGGCGCCTCACTCCCTCCTTCCTTCCAGTGCCTTCTGCCTCCGGATAAGCTGGGGGCCCCTCACCTGCACACTCCTTGGGCACCCGTGACCCGGGACAGCCTGCTGGGGTTTGCACAATAAACATTGGCGCTTCAAGTCCAGTGCCTGCTGTGAGCTCCCCTCCTGGGACCGGGGGCAGCTCCTACGATGAAGCTGAGAGACCCCCACATTCAGGCAGGCAGCTGTGGCCACACCGCTTCCCCTGGTCCCGAGACGCCTGGGCCTCCGCTTGTGTGCACCTGCAGAACCTGCTCTGAGGAGGGGGCTGGGGTCCCCAGGCTGGTTGGTCTCGGGGCCTCCCAATGCTCGGGACCCCGCACACCAGCCGCTGGCCCAGGCTCTCTCCCACACTGGGCCTGAGCTGGGGGCACGAGGCATTCAGACATCCCTCTTCCCCACTACCATCTTGGCCGAGTGGGAGGGTGCCCAGGGCAGGATCTGACCACTGGGGCCTGCTGTGGGGGTCCAGATGGCCATTGCTGACAGCCTGAGGAAGTCCCTTCGTGGGGCGTGGCTGGCAGGCCGGTGGGAGCCTCAGAAGTTGACTGTGGAACGGCTGCAGGACAAGACGGGGTGTTGGCGCAGTGGCTCCCTGCTGACCCTCCTCTTCCGCTCCAGTCCCACCCCTGTAAGCCCCTGTCCTTGAGCTCTGCTCTCCACCCCCCAGGCCCTTCCTGATTCCTTCCCCTTGGCCAGTGATCAGAGAACCCTGTGTGTATGTGTGTGTGAGTGACTGTTGGAGAGAAAGCTTAGGGACTGTCTGTACACGCACAACAGTGAAAAAGAAGGTCCAGATGTCCTGTGCACTCAGAGTGGGAGAGCAGGCCTGGGGGCCGGGTGCACATGTGTGAGCTGAGGGAGGGAAGGGCTGGGGGCCGTGTGCACATGTATGAGCTGAGGGGAAGGGCTGGGGGCCGTGTGCACATGTGTGAGCTGAGGGAGGGAAGGGCTGGGGGCCGGGTGCACATGTGTGAGCTGAGGGAGGGAAGGGCTGGGGGCCGTGTGCACATGTGTGAGCTGAGGGAGGGAAGGGCTGGGGGCCGTGTGCACATGTGTGAGCTGAGGGAGGGAAGGGCTGGGGGCCGTGTGCACATGTGTGAGCTGAGGGAGGGAAGGGCTGGGGGCCGGGTGCACATGTATGAGCTGAGGGAGGGAAGGGCTGGGGGCCGTGTGCACATGTGTGAGCTGAGGGAGGGAAGGGCTGGGGGCCGTGTGCACATGTGTGAGCTGAGGGAGAGCAGGCCTGGGGGCCGTGTGCTCATGTGTGAGCTGAGGGGAAGGCCTGGGGGCCGGGTGCACATGTGTGAGCTGAGGGAGGGAAGGGCTGAGGGCCGTGTGCACATGTATGAGCTGAGGGAGGGAAGGGCTGGGGGCCGTGTGCACATGTGTGAGCTGAGGGAGGGAAGGGCTGAGGGCCGTGTGCACATGTATGAGCTGAGGGAGGGAAGGGCTGGGGGCCGTGTGCACATGTGTGAGCTGAGGGAGGGAAGGGCTGGGGGCCGGGTGCACATGTATGAGCTGAGGGGAAGGGCTGGGGGCCGTGTGCTCATGTGTGAGCCGAGGGGAAGGGCTGGGGGCCGTGTGCACATGTGTGAGCTGAGGGAGGGAAGGGCTGGGGGCCGTGTGCGCATGTGTGAGCCGAGGGGAAGGGCTGGGGGTCGTGTGCTCATGTGTGAGCTGAGGGAGGGAAGGGCTGGGGGCCGTGTGCTCATGTGTGAGCTGAGGGAGGGAAGGGCTGGGGGCCGTGTGCACATGTGTGAGCTGAGGGAGGGAAGGGCTGAGGGCCGTGTGCACATGTGTGAGCTGAGGGAGGGAAGGGCTGAGGGCCGTGTGCACATGTGTGAGCTGAAGGAGGGAAGGGCTGGGGGCCGTGTGCGCATGTGTGAGCTGAGGGAGGGAAGGGCTGGGGGCCGTGTGCACATGTGTGAGCTGAGGGAGGGAAGGGCTGGGGGCTGTGTGCATATGTGTGAGCTGAGGGGAAGGGCTGGGGACTGTGTGCGCATGTGTGAGCTGAGGGGAAGGGCTGGGGACTGTGTGCGCATGTGTGAGCTGAGGGAGGGAAGGGCTGGGGACTGTGTGCGCATGTGTGAGCTGTGGAGAGAAGGCCTGTCCTGAGCCCACAGCTCCTGGATAGCAGGAGACGCAGGGACTTCCTCATCCTGCCTGTTTTTTGTTGTTGTAGTTTTTATTTATTTTTATTGGTTAGGCAGATGTGCAGAGAGGAGGAGAGACAGAGAGGAAGATCTTCCATCCGATGATTCACTCCCCAAGTAAGCGCAACGGCCGATGCTATGCCGATCTGAAGCCAGGAGCCTCTTCCGGGTCTCCCACACAGGTGCAGGGTCCCAAGGCTTTGGGCCGTCCTCCACTGCTTTCCCAGGCCACAAGCAGGGAGCTGGATGGGAAGTGGAGCAGCCGGGATTAGAACCAGCACCCATATGGGATTCCAGCGCATCCAAGGTTAGGACCGTAACCACTACACTGTTGTGCCGGGTCCTGTAATTTTTACTTTTTGTGATTTTTGCATAGTTGATTAGGATGATTAAGCTCAAGGCCTACAGGGAGGTAGGTGAACTATTTCCATGTTCTCTTTTTAAATTCCAGTATCTGGGGGATTGAGGAGACCAGGGGAGAAGCCACAGCCGGCGTCCCTAATGTCTCTGCAACTTGGGATGGAAGACAGCCACCCACCCCCCAGGATCCCCAGTGCGGGCATGGTCTGAGCGTCCGACTCAAGGGGGTTTGTTTATTTAAGATTAATTTATTTTTCTTGGAATGTCAGATATACAGAGAGGATGAGAGATAGAGAGGAAGATCTTCTGTCTGATGATTCACTCCCCAAGTGAGTGCAACAATGGCCGGTGCTGCGCCTTCTCCTGTTTTATTGAAGTCAAGAGAGCAGAAAAAACTTCAGTTTGGCTGTTGTCTTGGAGACTAGTTAGGGATTTACTGAAGTT